GCTCATCGCCCCTATCCCATAGGTTGCCGGAGCTGTCTCTTCTCTTTTTATCCTCCTCATCATTCTCAAACTCGGAGAACTCTTCCAAGACCTACCTAGGGTGAGCCACTGCCCTACCCAACCAGTTTTCAGGGCTTTGGTAAGGCCAGGGTCTCAGTTTAGTCTATACCCAAGTAAGGGGCAAGAATATAAGATCATGCCCTGGATTTTTAAGGCTGAGATCTATAGGGTGAGATTTGGCCTCAAGGGTCAGGGTTTAGAATTTTTCAGTCAAATCCAAATTGTTAGAGTTGGGGTGGGTGGTCATTGCTGTTGGTTGGGGTTCTGACCAGGTTCTTGGGGTCAGTCTAGATCATGCCTACATGGTTGAGGTCAATATCTAGGCACCTATAAGCAGCCCTGGTGATACTCCTTCCACCCCAGGCAGTTTTGGCAGCCACCATTATTGTGAACCTAAAGGGCATGTTGATGCAGTTTGCTGACATATGCTCCCTGTGGAAGAAAAATCGTGTAGACCTGGTAAGACACCTGGGGGCCCAGAGCTGGGATTGGGGCCTTTAGCCCCAGTGGCCCCTCTATACTCTTTAACTCCTGCCCCTCTGTTCTCAGCTCATCTGGCTGGTGACCTTTGTGGCCACCATCCTGCTAAACCTGGACCTTGGCCTGGCAGTTGCATTAGCCTTCTCCCTGCTTCTTGTAGTGGTCCGAACACAGCTGTGAGTCAACCTTATTAGTCCTTCCCTCATTCCAGCTGGAAAGGGAACACTGGCTCCCCCCTAGGTTTCCTCATGTCTCTGGGGAAGGGGGAACCACAGGCTCCTCAGTGTGCCCTCATGTCTCCCTTCTCCTCCTCCTCTTATACTCACTTTCACTTCCACAGACCTCACTACTCTGTCCTGGGGCAGGTGTCAGACACGGATATTTACAGAGACGTGGCAGAGTACTCAGATGTGAGTGGCAGGGGCTGAGTAGGAGGGCAGCATGAGTTGGGTGGAACAGAGGCAGAGCAAACCCATGTCAATCTCTTTTACACTGGCAAGGACACAGTGGGCTGAGAGTACTTTGGGTTTGGTCTCTGGAATTTTTAGTGAGGAGTCTGGGTCTATAACCCCCACTCAGGGGGAGGGGCTAAGAAGGGACAGAAGGAGAGGTAGGTCTGGAGGTCTAGTGAGGGGTCAGTCTTAGAGCCATCCTGGGTCGGGAATATAGAGGATCAGGGTCCTAGGACATAGGCTGTTTCCTGATCTCATCAGTGCGGCTACTAAGTCTCTAATCATTTACCTCCTGGGAAGTCTTAAGCCAAATGATGGAAAAAAGGCTGTGGGGCAGGCACAGGGGATAGGGATCTGGAATAAAATAAGCCCCTTCTTGGGTTATGGCTTAGCAGTAGAGTGCTCGCCTCGCACGTGCAAGGCCCTGGGTTCTATCCTCGGCACCACATAAAAATAAATAAATAAAGTTATTGTGTCCAACTACAAATAGTAAATGTTAAAAAAAAAAAAAGTCCCTTCCCACTGACATAGAGACTGAAAGCATGAGCACAGTGTGATTAGACAGAGTAAAGGATGGGACCAAGGGATCTAAGGTATGGGAGAGGACATGAGGGGAGTAGCTCAGCTGGATGGAGAGGAAGCACCATGAGGCACAGGCCTAAATGCCTAGTAAAGATCTTGCTGTGTTGTGAATGGGATGGGAACTGAGATTGGGGTGACAGCTTAGAAGAATCATTATGTCTACATGCAGGGAAAAAAAAAAAAAAACAGGGGTTGGAGATCTTAAGAGGAGGCCTAGCCACCACCAAAATCTAATCTGGGTAGTGGCAAAGAGCAGGAGAGGTGATGGGGAGAGGACCTGAGGCAGGAGTGAAGTAGTAGGATGGGGAGTCCACCTCTGAGTAAGCCAAAGGCTGGGAACAGAGGGTGGGAGGTGCCAGGCACTGGGTGCTCTTGGGGAGGAAAGACAGAACAGGATACAATGGAGGGAGAGGACTTGGCTCTCCTATAACTCTGTCCCATCCCCAGGCCAGGGAGGTCCCAGGTGTGAAGATCTTCCGCTCCTCAGCCACCATATACTTTGCCAACGCTGAGCTCTACAGTGACACACTGAAGCAGAGGGTAAGACTGAGGTCTCTTGGGGACTGATTGAGGGCCCCTTGCCTTCCCAGAGTGCCTCATCCTCCTCTTTCACATTCACCTCTAGTGTGGTGTGGATGTTGATCACCTCATCTCTCGGAAGAAGAAACTGCTCAAGAAGCAGGAGATGAAGCTGAAGCGCCTACAGAAACACAAGTCACCCCAGGAACAGGCAGGGCCCCTTCCAGTGGTTGACTCCTGGCCCTGCCCTGGGCTGGCCTCTGCCCGTGGTCTGCTGTTGACCCCAGCCAACTTGTCTCACTATTGAACTCTGCCCCTGCCCCAGTGTTCCCCCCTCAGCCTGTCTCCCAGCCTCCCTGTTTCACTCCCTGGCAGGGCTCTTGGTGGTCTTTTGTTGTCCCTATACTGGTGACAGTATGAATCATCATAGTCCTCTTCCATTTTTATGGCTGTTCTCAGAATTGGTCAGAGCCCTGTGGCTTGGCTGCCCCAGATCCCACAGCTTCCAGAGCTTGGGATCTACATCAGACCTACCTACCTGACATGTTGTCATATGACAGCAGGAATAACTCTTTCCTGTCTCCACTCTTCCCCTGTGTAGGCTGTTTCTTCCCAGGACAACTCAGTTTCCATCAATGTCAATACCAATCTTGGAGACATCAAGAGCAATGATGTGGAGAGCTCTAAGACCAAGGTGAGGCTAGAGGTGGAAGAGGAGAGGTCAGCCATGAGCTGTAGAGATGAGGGTGTCTACACATCTCCTGAGAAAAGTCATGGACCCCAACCAAATTGGGTTTGAGAAGGCACCAATGTCTGGGGAAATAGGGTGATGGCTCTGATACTCTGGAGAGACCTATGGTGAAACAGAATTCTGCTTGTTCTCTTATCTATAATCTCAGGCCTAGATGAAGACCTTGGATTTATAGATCCCAGAGTCTGCTCATGAAGGGAGGGAAGGGCTTGAATATATGGGAAAAGTCTTGGGAACATAGAGATGCCACACTCAATTAGAGACTCAAACAGAACAGGCTGCCAAGGTGTCTATGTGTGAGTGTGTGCACATGAATGCATGTGTCTCTTCTGGTCCTTGTACCCCTACCCACTCCACCTGGGCTGGCTGATGGTGGAATATAGTTTCCCAGCATCCTCCCTTCTTGTGTCCCTTTTAAGCCTGGGCCCAGGAGGTAACAGCTGTGTGTGAATATCTGGGCATGCTCTCCTGTATGTCCCCATGTATCTATACTGCCTGTCTTATGTACACACATGACTCCCCCATGTCTGTGTCATCATGTGTTCCCTGTATGTCCCTCTATATGTGGGTATTTATATGCACACTCCTGTGTCTAATCCCATGTGTCCCTAAGGTGCTTTGTATGTTCCCTGCTTTCACTTCCTGATGGGCTGTCCTACCACATGTCTGGTTCCCCTGCAGGCAAGGCCAGAGAATGAGCTGGAAGAGATTGTGGCTAGTGGTCAAGAAGATGCCAAGGCTATAGCTGTGCCTACACTGAAAGCCCTGGGTCTGCCTCAGCCGGACTTTCATAGCCTCATCCTGGACCTGGGTGCCCTCTCCTTTGTAGACACTGTGTGCATCAAGAACCTAAAGAATGTAAGGGGCTGTAGGCAGGCCATGGCCCCTCAGGCTTCCACATAAACCCCATAACTTTTGCTGAGATCCCTCTGAGCATGGTGATGCCCCCAAACCTTGCAAGCTGAACATCAAAAAATTGTTCCCCTAAGCTTGCCCAAGTGTTCCCTCTGAATCCCTGAGCCTCCCTTGAGTCCAGTCCCTTTTGTTGCTGCAGATTTTCCGTGACTTCCGGGAGATTGAGGTGGATGTGTACATTGCAGCCTGCCACAGTGCGTTGCTTGGGGATAACAGGATGGTCCAGGAAGAGGGTGGGACTCTTTGCTGAGAGGTTTGCCAGGAATCACAAGGAAAAAGTTTCTGAAACTGGAGATCAAAGGTGCCCTGGGAGGAAGGAGTCAAGTGTTGGGAGTGACTGGGTGTCTAGCTCTAGCCTCAGGGGTGGAAGATAGTGTGGCAGACATCAGAACACTATAAAGGTATCTGGGGCTGGAATGTCCTGAGAGTCAGAGGAGACCTATTCCTTGCTTACAGGTCCTGTGGTCACCCAGTTGGAGGCTGGGCAGTTCTTTGATGCATCTATAACAAAACGGCATCTCTTTGTCTCTGTTCATGATGCTGTGACCTTTGCCCTCCAACACTCAAAGTCTGGCCCCATCAGCCCTGTTTTGGTAAGCTTGTTTCTGGCCCACTAGGCTGTTTTTTATTAATCTGTTGCTTGTCCCCAACCTGACCCTAACTCCAGGAAGTCCATCTATTGACCTAGCTCTGCCCTCAGTGGACCCATTTCCTTCTCCAGTTGTCTTTGGATTAAGCTGCTCCTGGGAACAGGGGTTGCTGTCCTGGAGAAGTGGTTTGTTATGTGTTTTTTGGAGACTGACTAGAACCTCCCCTCCTCTGTCTATCCAGGCCACCAAACTCTGACTGTGTTATTACCCTGCCCAAGATTGCTCACCTCTGGAGGTTGTGATGGAGGACCCTCAAGAAGACCCTCACACTGCGCATGTGCCACTCAGGAGCCCCTTGGTGCATACATACATACAACTCAGGGATAGAGATTTTAGGAATCCAGATTCAGGTTATAGGCCTGGAAGAGGGGTACTGTGGTCTGGCTGGCCTTGGCCAGGCTTGGGGAGGGAGCCAATGTCTATTTTCAGTCTAAGGAATAAAAATTTGTTTAACCAGCTCTAGGCTTTGCCATGGCATGGTGGGGGCTTGACTGGGGAGTTGGATGGTTGACAATTCTGGCTTCTGACCTTTTTATGCCCCAGGGTAGAGATTGAGGTCAGAAGCCAGGGATGGGGATTAGAGGAGGGGAAGGTCAGGCAGAAAGTGTACAGAGTAGGAGAGCTATGGGGCCAGGCCCAATGTGAGGACATCCCAGGCTCAAGTTTCTCCCCAACTACACACAGGTAGAATTTAGCTTCTGGCTGGAAAATAGTTGGGTGGTACAGAGTGAACCCCTGAACACCTAGTCAAGGAAGATCAGTTGCTTACCAACGCTGCTGATCTGTATTTTTAAATAAGTGTGATTGATTGCTTGTTTATATAATTAGATCATTGGACTTGGCAGAGCACTGTCAGCCAAGAAGCATTTATTGATTTCTCCCAGTAAATGCCAACATCAGGGGCTGGGATTATAGCTCAGTGGTAAGAGCACTTGCCTAGAACATGTGAGGCACTGGGTTCAATCCTCAGCACCACAAAAAAATAAATAAAGGTATTGTGTCGGTCTACAACTAAAAAAAAAAAAAAGCCAACATCAGGGCATATGGCCCAGCAGGCAAGGGGGTTTTGACACAGTAAATTGTCAAGAGTGTCTATGGTGTCTATGGGGGCACCAGAATCTTTCTGGGCTCGGGTGTGCTACTGATTGATGAGTGGAGTGGCGATAGTACTCACCTCATAGACTACTCAGTAAGTATTAAATGAGCAAATGTGGGGAAATGCTTAGACGAGTTCAGGACTTGAATCACCTGCTCAAAGCATGAACTTTGCCATTCATCAAGTTACTGACCACAGAGACTGCCCTGCCCTCCAAATCACCCAGGCACCCTTGCCCAGGCCTATTTTTATCATGGCCTATGTCAGTGCCTGGCACTGTATTTACAAACTGTCTGTCCTCCCTCCAGAACCTCACCACAGTCCAGGAAATCAAAGCTCTTTGTCGGCTCCATCATACTGCATTCTGGTACCAGGAACTGGCACTCTGTAAATATTGGTTGAATGAGACTTAAATGCTGGAGTAGGAGTCTGGACCTCAAATATTAAATTGAAGGTACTTAGAAGTGCTTTGAAGAAAACAATGCAGGGTCAACATTAGAAGGGGCTGTGTTACCCAAGATGGTCATGGGAGGGAGGCTTAGGGAGCAGGTAACAGTTGAACTCTAGCCATGAGAAGGTGACTTTCTAAGAGACGAATTGCTTCTGACATAGGGAATAGCAGATTTGTTCAGGGATGTGTACATGAGGCAGGTACAGCCAAATGAATGGGAGGGAGATCTTAAAGGCTAGTGTGAACCTTCAGACTTTTTTACTGACAGGAGCCACATGAAAAAAAAATTTTTTTGTAATAAGTGGTGCTGAGGCTTGAACCCAGTTCCTCACTCATGCTAGGCAAGCACTCTATCACTGAGCTACAACCCCAGCCTGGGAGCCACATTTTTGCAGCTCAGGCAGTATAGATGGTGGAGCTGGGCTGGGTGGGGGCAGGGACAGTGAGCAGCTCAGTCATATACAGCTTGATTGGCCTGGGAGTGCTATCTCTGATGAAGAACAGAGGGCTGTAGGGGCCATGGTGTTTAGATTTTGTCAAGATGAGGTGGAAGCAGGGAAGATAGGGGATAAGAGGTGTTCCCTCTATCCTGGGCCTGCCAGGCCTCAGAGCTGCCATTCCCCCCGCCCCCCGAACACAGTCCCCCACCTCCCATTTGTGGTCCAGGCTGGTCATGAAGGGCCTTAGGCCCTGCTGGAACCTGCTGCCTTAGAGCTGGGCCTACTCTTGGGGGAGGGGTGTTTGGTGGTTGCCAAGCGCAAAGGTTCCGGCTTCTGGTAGTGGCCACAGCCATGTTGCATGCACTGTACTTTCTCTTGTCACTACTGTTGGCAATACCTACTCCCACCCATGCCTGGTCACGGCCCCTCTGGTATCAGGTGGGGTTGGACTTGCAGCCCTGGGGGTGCCAGCCAAATAGCCTAGACTCTTGCAGGAGCAGCTTGGGCTGTCCGAACGGTTGGGTGGGCCTGGGAGGGAACCGCATCTACCCTGTGGCTGGGGTCACGATTACCACCACCATGATGCTGGTGATCAGCCGTGCGATGCTGCAGCGGTGGCGTTCACAGGACACTAAGGGTAAGGTGAGCACAGTACTCCCCGACAGCTCCTTCCTCCACTCATGCCCAGTGGGCCCATAACTTCTACTCAACCTTCCCTAATAAGCCTGCCTTATAAAGACTCATGGGCCTCCTGCCCAACCTCACCCTACCCAACACCCTATTTTCCCTGCATCCGTCCACACATCTCCATGAAATGCATTTCTAGAACCATTCATCCTGACTATTCCCCATGGTCAGTACCCTGCCCAATTTGTCCTCCTTTAGTACATCCATTTCTCATCCAGCCCCCATGGGTCCCATGAACATGCTAGCCTATAGGAGACCCTCAGGGATCCATCACCCTAAGTCACCTCTCCCATCTCCTTTGGGCACAAATGTGTAACCCTACACCCTTCTCTTTGCTGCCACTTGCTATGCCCCCTTCCCTCTCTCCACTCACTCCTACCTCTTGGAGTAAGACTTGGACTCCTATTCTCAGCACCCACAGGTGACCACTAGTTGCTACGGACCTTGGAAACGGCGAACTCCAATTTCAGATCGTGCCCTACTCCTTGGGGTCCTTCACATGCTGGATGCCCTCCTGATCCATATTGAGGGCCACCTGCAGCGTCTAGCTACCCAAAAGCGAATTCAAATAAAGGGGACTCCCACCTAGTGTGGGTGATCCAGCACATTTCTCTCTGCCTGCTGGCCAGCCAGGGTGACGATAGTCCTGAGTTCCCTGGCTGGGACTCAAGCCTATGCAAATGTTCTCTCTGGGCCTCTCTGTGGCCCCTTTTTACTCTTAGAACCAGCAGGTCTGTGGAGTCCAGGAACTGACAAAGTGCCTGTGGAATAGTGGGTATGGGGAAAGTTACTCCCAGTGGAGATCTCAGTCTGAGTAAAGGCCATATGCTGTGTTTGGTATTCCATGCTTGTTGTCAGGATGGGTAGTGATCAGTGGTGGAGAGCATAAAGTGCTAAGGAAGGGTCCAGGCTTTCCCAGTGCACATGGGGTACGGAGAAAAGGCCTGGTCAGCTGAGAAGAGTAGGAGGAGGGTAGTGAGGAGGCTAGAACCAGATTCCAATGGTTTCTAATAGGAACTGAGAACCCTGAGACCCCAGTCACTAGGGGGCACCCACTCCTTTACTTCTTCCACCTTTATCACCACCTCAGGAGATCAGTAGGGGAGATGTCCTCGTGACTTTTTAATCTTGCCACCTGAAAGCAACTGGCTTTGATTTCCTTCTTCCCTGGACTTGCAAGGCCCTACTCCAAGGGGGTCACTGCTGAGTCTCCTATAACAGCCACTCTCCAGATCCTTGGCACCTGTTTGGCTCCCCACTCTCCTCCTCCCCAGCTTGGGTCCGATAATACCAAACTGGAGCCAAGTAGGCAGTTTTTGTGGCCACCTCAAACATGCTCTGATACCTGAGTGCCCTTGCTCCAAGACCCCTAGAAGAGGAATGAGGGTCGGACCTCCCCAAAGAGACTCCTTTTCCCACCTATCAAAGGTGATCCAGGTGGAGTTGGGCCTGAGACACATGCATTTTGGGGGTCTCTGTTTTAGAAAAAGAATATGTTATTGCAAATTGAACATTAGGAACAACAACAAAATTGAACACTAGAAACAAATGAAAAATGCTGGGGATTTAGCTCAGTAGTAGAGCATGTGCATGAGACCCTGGGTTCAATCACCAGCATTGAAAAAATAAATAAATAAATCATTAAAAATGGTTTTAGACTGGGCATGGTGGCACACGCCTGTAATTCCAGCAGCTCGGGAGGCTGAGGCAGGAGGATTGCAAATTCAAAACCAGCCTCAGCCAAAGTGAGGCACTGAGCAACTCAGTGAGATCCTGTCTCTAAATAAAATACAAAATAGGGCCAGGGATGTGGCTTAGTGGTTGAGTGCCCCTGAGTTTAATCCCTGGTACTCTCTCCCCAGCCAAATGGTTTTAGGTTGATAAATATTACAATAGTGATCCATAAATATATCTTTTGTGATACATATTATTATATGACACATTCCTATAATTTCTCCCTCCATTTTCTGGCTTCGTACATTGATGGCTTCTATAAACAATAAGGATTTTGTAATTCCTGGGGAGAAATTTTTTAATATAAAAGGGAAAGATAATTCAGTCTTCCTTCTAACATAGTTGATTGAAGTTTGAGTTTTAATTATTGATAGCTTAGGAAAGTTATTTTACTTCCTAAGCTATTACCAATGGTGTAAGTATTGCTGCCAAATTTGGAAACATCCATTTTTCATACAGGAACTGTAAGATTTGGAAGAATTTCCCATAGGTGAACTTCCACCTGTACGTATTTCAAACCTTGTTTTCCCTCCCTGATTTTTCTAGTGCTGGGTGCTATGGGGCACGTTCTTAATGCAATAAGACTTTGTACTTCTGTCCTGTCAGGAGTTCTCACCCCGTAGGAGTTCCTCCAGGCTACATTCCAGAAGAGGAATAATAAGCTAACTTTACGTAGGAGTAGAACAATTCACATAAATATGTCCCTGCTAACTCAAACCAAGTGTTTCCTTATGGTAGACAGAGATATGCCACTTAAGTCCCCTTCAAAATAGGCTGGCTGTTGCCAGACATTGGGAAATCAACCAGAAGACAAGTCTGCCTCAGCCATGGAGAGCCTCTCCCAGCTAGCTTTCTTCCTCTGCCCAACCCTATTCCTTCCTCAAGTACTGATCCCAATTGATTTCTCTGGTAAGTAGCTTGGACTCTAATCTTCCTCTTAGAGCTAGCTTTCCAGGGAACCCAACCTGGAATAATTCCTAACCCATCTTCCCCTTGGATAGATTCCCAAATGCCATAGTCTGTCTGATATTCCCCACCCCACACACTTGACACTGGAGACATGTCTAAGCAGAAAGGACAGAGGTCCTGAATTAATGCAATTAGATTATCTTAATTTTGCCAGTTTTCTAAAAATATTTGCCCCCCAGACACACTACTGGGGCCCTTCTCAAGGCTGAAAGTAAGATGTTGAAGGCCAAGTTTCATCTGCCTGTTGTGAGATCCACTTTGGCACTCTACAAGGTTTAATGAGCACCTCCTATTTGCTGACCCTCTATCGTGGATGTATATACTAATGTGCATAGCAGACCTGGTTCCTCCCTTACCTTCTTGCAAATAGAGGTCTAGTGCTGGTGAAATAGACATGAAAAGGCAATTATTCTGAAGCAAGGTATGCTGCTCAGCTGGGGTGGTGTAGAGGCTGACTGCTGGGACCTGAAGGATGAGTAGAATGACCAGAAGAAGAGAAGAGAGCTCCACTGAGAAGGACAAGCATGTACAAGTGCCTAGTGGGGAGATAGAACTTGACTTGTTAAAGGAGATTTAAAGTGATCAAGAGTTCAAGGGAAAGAAGGTGCTCTGGAAAGCAGGAAGGAGGGGTCTGAAGAGGAACAAAAATTGGTGTCTCCTAGAGAGGGTAACATGGGCAGAATGATGGCCCCTCTGTGATGTCCATATCCTAATCCCTGGAATCTCTGGATATATTATAGTACTTTGCAGATGAAGTTATGGAAAAGGACTTTAGTGAGATTATTATGGATTATCTTGGTGGTTCCAATGTAATCACATGAGCCTGAAAAAGCGAAAGAGGAGGGCAGAAGTTGGTCAGACTCAAATTATGAAAGGGATGTGATCCTCCACAGCTGGCCAAGGATCCAAGGAATTCAGGTGGTCTCTACAAGCAAGAAATGACCCTCAAGTGATAGCAAAAAAAAAAAAAAAAAAGGAAACTAAGTTCTCCTACAACCACTAGGAATTGAATTCTGCCAACAACCTTAATGAGCAAATTCTCCCCAACCACCTCCAGAAAGGATTGCATCCCTGCTAATGTGTTGATTTTAGCCCAATGAAACCCATATTGAACTTCTGGCCTACAGAACTGTGGTATGATAAAAATTTTTATTATTCTAAGCCACTAAGGTTGTGTTAATTTGTGGGTTTATATTGTTAGGGATTGAATCCAGGACCTTGTGCATGCTAGGCAAGTGCTCAAACATTGAGCTGCACCCCCCAACCCAAGGGTAATATGTTATTGTAGGAAAAGAAAAGTGATAAGAGATTAGAGAATGAGATACTGCTGTAACAAATTCCAAAAACATGCCAGGTTCAGTGGTGCAGGTCTGTAATACTAGCAGCTCAGGAGGCTGAGGCAGTTGGATTGTGAGTTCAATGCCAGGCTCAGCAATTTTGCAAGTCCTTATCTCTGAATAAAATATAAAAAGGCCTAGGATCTTGCTCAGTGGTTAAGTGTCTCTGGGTTCCATCCCTGGTACAAAAAAAAAAAAAATCCAAAAATGTAGAATTGGCTTTGGAATTGGGCAGTTGGCAGAGGCTAGAAGAATAACAGAAAAGGCCAATTTTGGCTTCAATGAACCATTAGAAGAAATCTGAATGTTAAGGATGTTGCTGGTGAGAGCTTAGAAAGAAATGAAAAACATGTTATTGGAAGCTGGAGTTGCAGAAAGTTTAGTGTGGAATTGTATCCCACAGTAGGGTGGAAAACAGAATTTGTCCATTTCTAAGCAAAATGTTGAAGGTACATTCTGGGTTCTTCTTGCTAATTATGGTAAACTGTAGGAAGAGGGATATAAATTCAAAGAGAAACTGTTACAATGAAATCAGACCTTGATATTAGGAATTCTCAGTCCAGAAAAGCACTTTACCTCAAATTGTTGAAGTTGATACAATTCAAATAACATCAAGTTCTTCATTTTGAGTGATAAAGTATTTATAAAAATAATATACAAGAATGATATAATGTCACAGAAGAGAGTGGACTAGGAAGCTTCATGGATTCATCCCTTCACAGAAACAAGAATTGAGCTGGGTGCAGCGGCATGTGCCTGTAATCCCAGTGTCTCGGGAGGTGGAGGCAGAAGGATTGCAAGTTGAAAGGCAGTCTCATCAAAAGTGAGGCGCTAAGCAACTCCATGAGACCTTGTCTCTAAATAAAATACAAAATGGGACTGGGGATGTGGCTCAGTGATTGAGTGCCTTTGAGTTCAGTCCCCCTCAACTCCCCCTCCCGCTCCCCCCCAAAAAAACCCACAAATAAACAAAAAATCAGGTATTTGAGTTTTCAGAAACTGCCTGAACAAACTTTTTAGGAACTCAAGTCTAGATTGTAGAGGACAGATGAGACAAGTCCCTGAAGATAGCAGGAAACAGTTTTATTTGGCTGCAGCCAGGTTCAGAAGATACAGTTTTTGCTGTAATCAACAATCCACTGAATCCCAAATTCAGGTAGTTTCAGAACTTTATGCCCAGTGTGTGAGGGGAGGGGCTCAGAAGTGCACAGTCTGCAGAAGTTCACATAAAAGCAGCTTTTTCTCTCACTGTTTCGGGCAAGTTAACTCTTCAAGGACAACATCTGAGAAGGGAGAGCTTCTTCTCCCCTTTTTTTCCTCCCCCTTCCAGCTATTACGGAGCCCAACTGGTAACTTATCTTAGAAATGTAGACACTTCTGTGAAGCTTCTGCTCAAGGCCAGAGACCTTATCAAAGGATCTTTTTTAAATATTTTTTTTATTGTAGTTGGACACAATAGCTTTCTTCTATTTATTTATGTGGTGCTGAGGACCAACCTAGGGTCTCACTAAGTTGCCTAGGATATTGCTAAGTAACTGAGGCCAAGTTAAGTTATGCCTAGGACCTTGCTA